ACTTCCTATCCCAACACTTAAAGCTGCAGCTGATTCTTGAGATTGACTATCTGAAATTAAAAAACATTCAATATTATTCTTTAATTTAATAAATCTAAATTTTCTATCTTCAGATATTGGTTTTAAAAAATTATTATCTTCAATTCTGCAAATAGTATCATTACTTCCCTTGTCCAAATTCATCTTGATTTCATCTCTTATCTTTACATCTAAGAAATTATCCGAAATATGTGATGAAGCATTTATTTCGTCACTTGAATTCAAAAATTGATTATATTTTAAAGTTGGTAGGCTTGTAGTTCTTATATATTCACACTTGCCAAAATTTAGTACTTGCTTATTAAACATTATAGGTAGTATATGGAGAATATTCAAAGCATAAAAACCTCTTCTTATTGTCAAAGTATTTTTATTAAATATACTTGAACCTAAAACTTTGCTCAGTAACATTTTATCAGTTAGAAAATCAGAATGACAATTTCTTATTGAGTTAAGGTATCACAATTCGTGTATTACGTGTATCATTCGCGCCTTAGAATATAAATCTGGATTTTCATACACTAATAGTTTAACCTTATAAGAATCTACTCAAATTTATTTGTAGTAATTTTGTTTAAATTTTGGGAATCTAATATCTCTAATATCTCCTTATAATGAGATGTTTGTCTATACTAAGTACTTCCTTGAGTCCATAGTACTACAATTTTATTAACTGCTTTATATTATAATTGAATTGTATATGATAAGTTCTATTTTGTTACTTAACAGTTTATCGCTATATGATTTACATTTAAATTAGAACTATTATAGGTAAGGACTTGATGTATAAATTAGAATTAGTTGTAATTCTGACTAGGATACATCCACATTAAATTATAATATAATGAAATGATAACTTTAATAAGTGTATTTATAAGGAGTAACTTATTGTATAAATTTAAATGTTTTGATATTTTCTAGTTTAAATAATTCTTGTGTATCATTTAATTTTATAAAACCATTTGGTATATAATTTTCAATTTCATCAATAGATAATTTTTCCTCACTTATATTTTGTGATTGAACTGTTGTTATTAATTTTGGAGAGTTTGAAAATGTTTTATTAAACCATTCAATAAAT